TCTTAATTGTTCTAGTAATTGCAGAAGCAGTAATGAGCGTTATATGTTACACAAAAAGCATCATAACTCATGCTGAGCACCGTACTGGGTTTAACAGCATTATTCGAATGCAGATAAGGATCCAGCAATTATTGTTGATGAACATGGCTATTCCAGGATTCCTTATCACCAGACACTCCCAGACACACTGTTATCCACGCTAATCCACGGGATTTTCAGCGACGAGAAAGCCCACAATAAGGAAGAGTCAGAGCGCGGATGAAAAGAAGTCCATTTACAAAATGGCACAGAGCACAGTGACATAACCAGGCTGACCAGGACAGGCTGTGACGCGAGCTGGATGGGTTACAGGACACCTTGGTAACGACGCCTGAGTGCCAGAGAAACAGAAGATGAGCCAAAGGCAGCAGCTCCCCTTGCACAAACCAAAGCAAATGAGTTATTTTCCACTGGCTAATTGCGTCACAACAGAGAATTCGCACGCTGGCATTGCTCCCTGGACACTGGGCATCTTCTGCCTTCTGCATGTTGGGGAAATGTGTGATTTAAGACCCTCTCCAGCTCCGCTTGTTAGAGCAGAGCAACAGCAGACCCAGAAAAGGCCTGCTTTGTAAGCCTGAGCTCCAGCAGAATGACATAAACATTACGCGTCGTATAAACAGGATGAAAAGATGTGCGGCTGAGATCAGATGTTCTTCAAAGCTCGCTAGAAGAGTCTGGAATCATGCGTTTGTCCACACTGTGAAGCAGCTCACATCCTCTTTTTAAGAGCACGGTTCACGAATCCGACGCATACCGGTAAAATGCGCACCCCAGCCACCCGCCCCGCCAGTGTTCTGACTCTCTTTGGCTCCGTTGTGACAGTTCGTCCCGGCGTTTTCCATCTTCCGCCACGCAGCTCACATTTGTGCGCTGGGCCGCATCGTTGTAAAAGAGCCTTGTGCGGACGGAACAGGCTTTGTATTGTCCGGTCGCCAGCGGAGGTCAGAAGTTCCCTTCTGAGGCAGGAAGTTCCGAGCGAAGCGCCTTTGTCGGCCCTGTCCCTCTCGGGGTGTGACGCTCCGTGTGTGAACTTTTCCGTGACAGGAGAGCGACTGCTGAGATTCCGAGGGCTGCTTCAGACTGGGCAAGGGCTGCCTCGACAGACTTCCCGCCGGCACAACTCGTAACTTCTCCCACAAACGCCCTGGCACTCCAACACGTACTAGATTCCAGGAACTAATTATCCAACCACGTCTTTCTCTCTTCGATATTTAAACACTCCTCTCCGGCTTACCTACACTCACTATTGAGAAGTCTTCCACAGCTTTCCCTTGTGCGCACTACTATTCTCGACCGGACTCCTTTGACACCCCGACCTAGTTCTCCTACTTTTGACTTCGCTCTTGCCTAACGACTTGGATCTGGAATATTGAATTTACTTTGGCTCGAACTCCCTTCCTCACGGCTTCGCACAGGGGTCCAACAACTCACCCCTTTCAGAAGACGCCCGCGCTCTTGGTCATTTTCCTCTGCTCTTCCTGACAAGGGTTAACTTGCCAAGATAAGCTGCCGGAGAGCAAGGGCCTCATTTTTAGTACCTAACTGACGGTTGAGTTTGTGTGGTAGCTGTAGGTTCGCTTTCACTAATAGAAAATGCATTTCCTCTTTGCGTAGGGCAACTCCAATATCTGATGGAAACGTACAATAATGTAACATAATTGGATGTCAAGCTGTACATACTGTTTACAACTGAAGTGACTTTCGTTATTTAGTGTTAACTGTCTCTAAACACTAATCAATTCCATTTTCCATTACATTGCACTCACCACTAAGACACAGGGTAATGCTTAAGGTGACTCAATGCTGAAACCCTGCTCCTGCTCCTCACTGCAGACCCATGATCTCCAGTCCCATGGTTTAGGGGCTTAAGCCTTACTGCCTGAGTGCACAGCTCACTCGGTGTCATTACCAACAAGAAAACAGCGACAGGAATTCAAGCAATTGAGGTAATATATTTTACCTGAGTTCTGGTTCTTCAAATCTGTCTTCATTTTTTTGCTAGACCGGGTGGCTTCCAGCCGTAGGTAATATAACTCTGGCTCTTACAATCTGAGAATTATTCGAGGTTATTATTTCCACAGTTTGGATGCACTAGACCAGACCACAGTTACTCAGACCACTGGTTTGCGTCTGTTCCAAATGCCAGGTGCTACAAAGTAGAGCTTTTAAAGAATAAGGGGAATACAGGCCTTCAGTGGTTCAGGAGTAAACAGTAAAGATCAGTATTCTGATGAATATTATCCTAAACATCAAGCTGACCACTTTGGCCAGGTAGATGTTCAGCTAATTTTTTTGTACTTCAGTTAAACCCAAATAGCACTGGCCTTTGCTAGTCTGTTCAAAACCCAATCTACCGTATTTCCACCTCGACTACTGGCAATTTCTAGCATCTGATTCTCCTTCTTGTCTTTCTGCGGCAGGTGGCTCTGTGGCTAAGGATGTGGGCCTGTGACTGGAAGGCTGCTGGTTCAAGTCCTGCAGCTACCAGAGGAATCCTACTCCGTTGGGCCCCTGAGCAAGGCCCTTAACCCCAGCTGCCCCAGGGGTGCTGTATAAATGGCTGAACCTTTGCTCTGACCCCAAGCTTCTCTCTCCCTGCCTGTGCCTCTCGTGGAGAGCAAGCTGGGGTATGTGAAAAGACAAATTCCTTATACAAGAAATTGTATTTGGCTAACAAAATGATCTTATCTTTGTGGTCCATTCCAGTCTTTTGGATAACTTGTTTGCGGAGAGTGCAACACTCATCAGTTTACTTTCTCCTGGTCTTTTAGGACATCAGTGCCCCAAGCTAACCTGCCCCAAAGTGTCACGCTAATTGCGTTACGCTCTCCGACTGACAGCAGGAACAGGAGAGAGTAATGAGTCTCATGGAGTAGAGGTGATCCCACAAAGAAAAGATCCAGAGAAAGTGACAGTCGAGATCCCAGCAGAAGCTGGGAACAGAGCAAGCTGATAACGGGGACAGAGATGGAGGAGGTGGATGCCCCCAGAGAGGAAGATGACCGCAGCTGTGATGGAAGGGAAGGATGGAGCTGGGAAAGGAGCAGGGTAAAGGTGAGTTCCTCTGGGGTCACTGCTCAGTGTGAGGGGAGAGCCCACACTCTCTCTCACACACACTGATTTTAAAAGAGAAAGCTGTTTCTGTGGTTACAATGGGGGACACTACCACTACCACCCAACCCTAGCCCCGCCCTCCCTCATTCAGAAGACAGCTTCGGTGGCTCTCTGCCTGCCAGGAGAGCCAGGCTGCCTGTTCGCTCAGCGCAACACGGCCGGCACCACGTTAAGGCGCTAGTAGTACCGCTGTCCATCGTGGTTCAGAAGGACAACAGCCCGCGGGGCCGCCGGCAGACTTGCTCACATTTGTTAAACCCTGGCAGTTCCTCTGTTCCGAGACCCTGGAGATACGCTACCGAAAGTCCTGGCGGGGCAATCTTAGATTTCAACCACTTCACTGAAAGCGTGGGGGCTCATATTTTTCACAGCTCTCACTCCCCTGCCAAGTGAATGATCTTTACTTGGAAAACAAGTGAATGAAGGAAAACAAGTGAATGATCTTTACTTGGAAAAACATCCCTGCCTGTAGAAGTCTTATCCAAGAACAAAAGGTAAGATCGGAAAATTTTAGGGCAAAAAACAATACAGAGGTTCCTTCCACAAGAAGATAGGCTCTCTCTAGAAAATTCCGGATCATGGAGAAATTTAGCAGCACCAGCAGAATTGAAATCAAGTTCAATAAAAACATTTATAATTTGTCAACTTGCAAGTTCCTGCATTTGCCCTCAAAATTCAACCTTTAACCATTTCTTAAGAGGACTGACCCACTGTGGTTCTGGTGTCAAAGGTGTATTATTAGTGAATACATGACCTTATGTCAGAACTGCTTTATGAGCGAAGAATCCTCTTCTGTCTCAGAGTCTCCCCTCCCTTAGTGAACTGATGGCCCCGAAGACCCGTCTTATTCGGGAACCCAGAGACGAGAAACGCGAAATTCTGACTCCACTGACGACCCTCGCCCGGAGCGCTGTTCACGGTTTGCATATCCTGCTCACCGCGACCTCTTCTACAGACACTGTGCCCTTCACACGGATTATAAGGGGGCTACAAGATGAATGTTTTGGTGTTTTATAATATTAATCGACCCAGGCCAAAATAAAGTTTTTTTTTTCTTTTGAAAGTTGGATCTAAACGTTGTTGTTTTTTATACCTCAACTATTGTGAGTTCCCTAAAGCTCGCCTTATAGTGCTATTTCCCAAGTACTTCATACAATACAAAGTTCCCAACCAAAAAAAAAAACATTAATGAAAGAAAACATCAATAAAACGTGGTAATTTAATGAGATAAAATGCAATGTGAAGCATTCTTTTGTTTGTTCACATACACTTTTTAAACAGTTTTTTTTTTCTTAATGCGTTATCTGTATTAGTTTGACTTTAGCTTCCCAATTCATTTCAGCAGCCCCGGGAGTTGTTTACTAACAAGGACGGGCACACGCTGCTTCTTATCGACAGTCTCCTGCGATCATCCCCAAACGGGGTATTATATTACGATATACAACACTTTCTGAGCGAAGCAAAAACAACCGAAAAGCACGCCACTGTGTTTGGATTCATGTATACTGTACATCAACAAAAAAAAAAACGAAATGTCATTCTTGGTCTCCACTTTCGCACGATGCGCATTTCAATGTATAACAGTAGTTCATTTTGCTAAAAGCCGTGTGTGGACATGGATAGAAAGAGCCGAAAAATACCGAAACCGCACAGCATCCTCGCAGTTAATGCAGCACGGTTTAGAGGAGATGGAGCTGCAGTCGGCACTACAGTAGTGCCCCTTTCGAAACGTCCTGCTCCAAGTTTTTTTTTCCTCCTTTATGCAAATAAATATTTGTTCAACTCTTTTTAACGCGCCGATGGTTTTTTGTTTTTTTTAAAAAGCGATGCCGGTTGTACCTTACCTTGCAAAGTCGCGAAAACGGAGCAAAGTACAAGGACTGATGAAGTGGTCTTCAGCAGAGCCATGATTTCCGTGCCTTATCCTGTACCGAGGCGAGAGTGAAGTGTGGAGGTTCCTTCTGCTACAGCAGCGCGATACAAAGAGGGAGGAGGAGGGGGGTCGCTGCGGGGGTCTAGACTGCACTGTCAGTTCGCGGAGGGGAGTCGAGTTGAAAGCACCAGAAAAGAGGGAGTTTTCTGTGCAAGCCGAGATTGGATAGTTTTTTTTTTAATCTGTTGAGTGTAACAGGTGAGGGACACCGAAGGAGAGGACAAAGAGACGGGTGCCGCCGCCTGCGAGCTGTTGGACAATGCAGATAAAACAGCAGACGAGTGACATTCTGAATAGGAGCTTTAGGGACTTTTTAGGAAGCAACGGCAGTAAAAAAAGAAAAGGGGACGGACGCGATTAGAGAACTCGTGGGAGAGACTGCTGTATAAAACAGGAACCGTGTCTGGTATTAAAATATAATTCCCTCTGCAATGTGTTGTTCTTCTGATCAGAATATTTCGGGAAAGTATAAGAGTATTGAAGAAAAGGGAATAGGTAAAATAAACGTCTAATTAACTGTTTCATTATTATTATTATTATTATTATTGTTAT